ACTTTTGTATTTTAGTAGAGATAGGGTTTCACCATGTTGACCAGGTTGGTCTTGACCACCTGACCTCAAGTGATCCAACCACCTCAGCTCCCAAAGTGCTGGCACAGGCGTGAACCACGGCACCCAGCCCCTCCGCTCTTACAATTAAACCTGCTGTTGCTTCTCCCACCAAGAAACCATTCAGGAAGATTCATCCATGTTCTAGATGGAAAAACTGGGCTGTAGCCTGAGAGAAGCCAGATACAGACAAAGCCAAAGTTAATACAGAGGATGGAGCTTCTAGGGTGTAGGGGCTGGGTCTGGGCTAGGGAGCTGGGAACCTAGGTTCTATGCTTGTTCCAGTTTTGATGTTGGCCCTGACAGTGCTGTTTCTCATCAGCTTTTGTCTGCTTAAGGGGTCACAGGGCCATGCCAGATAGAGGGCTGCTGGCGTCACTGGGCACAAGAGTGCTTTCCCACAGCTCCCCTTCCTCTGCTCCACATCTGGAAACCTGGGTACCCTTCACCCACCTAGCTCTGTCCCATAGTGAGATTTATTGCTGGCTGCCCTGCCATCTGCCCCGGGGTAATAAATCAGGACAGAGCAGAATTGCAGTAACCCCATGCATGGCATGTATAAAAGGAGAAGGGCTAAGGGAGCCACAGAGCCTCTGCGGATCTCAGAGAGAGCCCCAGATTGAGGAAAGCATGGACGCATGGAGAGGAATGCCTCGCTGGGGACTGCTGCTGCTGCTCTGGGGCTCCTGCACCTTCGGCCTCCCGACAGACACCACCACCTTTAAACGGTAATTGGGAATGCACTCAGAGAAGGGGTGGGAGGGGTGCAGGGCTCCCACCTTCCCAACACCCTGGCTTTTCCGTATGTGGTGTCATTGACTCCTTAAGTCAGCTGGATAGGGAGGCATGGACCTGTTCAGAGAGGTCAAGAGACTTGCCCAGTAAATAAGTGGCACTACTAGTCAGGTCTAGAAGCTGTGTCTTTTGCTTCCTGCCCAGAGCACCATGCAAAGCGCTGTAAAGAACTCAGAAATGATTAGGACATGCCCCTTGCTCTTGAGGAGCTCACAGCCTGACTACTAAGGACTATTAGGAAGGGCATGGGTGGCCGGGCATGGTGGTTCATGTCTGTAATCCCAGCACTTTGGGAGGCCGAGGCAGGAGGATCCCTTGAGGATCCCTTGAGGTCAACATGAGGAAACCCCCTCTCTACTGAAAATACGAAAATTAGCCGGGCATGGTGGCATGTGCCTGTAATCCCAGCTGCTCGAGAGGCCGACGCAGGAGGACTGATTGAGCCCGGGAGGTGGAGGTTGCAGTGAGCCAAGATTACACCACTGCACTCCAGCCTGGGCAACAGAGTGAGACTCCATCTCAAAAAAAAAAAAAAAAAAAAAGGGCATGAGTACAGCTAACTCCACCAGGGAGGCAGCAGCGTGGTATCGCGGCTAACTGCAAAGCTTATAGAGTTGGACTGCCTTCATTTAAATTTTGCTTCACTAGCAGAACAAACTAGGTCTGGAACCATGGGCAGGTTATTTAACCTCTCCAAGTCTCAGTTTACCATTTTAAACAGGGATGATAGTAACAGTGCCTGCTTTGAGGATTTAATGAGATAAGGCATAGAAAGCCGGACACGTTTTAAGAGCCCAGCTACTGTTAGTACTACAGGGTGGATTCTTACAAATATCAAACACAGGGCTGTAGGCAGCCCACAGCTAGGAGGAGAAAACCCTAGCCTCCACTAGGAGCCAGGCCCTGTGGGAAAAAGCAATTCGTTAAGACCGAAGAAGAAAGCTGGGCACGGTGGCTCATGCCTGTACTTTCAGCACTTGAGAGGCTGAGGTGGGTGGATCGCTTGAGCTCATGAGTTCAAGACCAGCCTGGGCAACACAGTGAAACCTTGTTGCTACAAAAAATACAAAAATTAGCTAGGTGTGGTGGTGCATACCTGTAGTTCAAGCTACTTGGGAGGCTGAAGTGAAAGGATCGGCTCAACGTGGGAGGTGGAGGCTGCAGTGGGCAGAGACTGAGCCACTGCACTCCAGCCTGGATGATAGAGCCAGACCTTATCTAAAAAACAAAAAGAAGGCCGGGCGCGGTGGCTCAAGCCTGTAATCCCAGCACTTTGGGAGGCCGAGACGGGTGGATCACGAGGTCAAGAGATCGAGACCATCCTGGTCAACATGGTGAAACCCCGTCTCTACTAAAAATACAAAAAATTAGCTGGGCATGGTGGTGCGTGCCTGTAATCCCAGCTACTCAGGAGGCTGAGGCAGGAGAATTGCCTGAACCCAGGATG